CTGCCCCTGGTTTGCCCCAGTGGCTTCTGGATCAGATTACTAGTGTGCCTGGGTCTCTGCCACACCCTGGATGGCAGGTATGTCCCTTTTTGTCCCCAAGGGGAGCAGGTCACAGAGAGATGAGTGCTCCAGGAGGGAGAGGAGCTGGGACAAAGTTCTCATCAGACTCCATCTGTCAGTATCAACACCTTCAACAACAAAAATAGATTCTAAGCATTGTACGAAGTGGGGGTCTTCACGGGTGTGAGGCCGGAGTATCAGCTAGGAGGAGGAGCTGCCAGCTGCATGTCAGTGGAAACGAGCCATTTCTGGGATAATGTTGGTAACACAAAAGAAGACTATAATAGCAATAAAAGCTGTGATTTCAGTACACCGGCTGTGTGATCTTCCCTCTTAGCCTCTAATATGGTGCTATTTATTTCTCTTCTTAAATATTTACCACAGCCCTCTGAAAATAAGAATAATGATAAGATGAAATTAATAATATTACAAATGATGGTGGCAACATTGGCTTCTTGAGTGTCTGCCATATACCACAGTCTGTGTGCTTTATCTACATGACTTCTAATCCACACAACAAACTTGTGAGAATTTTCCCTCTGTTTTACCAATGAGGAAATAGGGCTCAGGGGGGCTGTGCAACTGGTTGGAAAGCCTAGTTTGTGAGCACCCAAACCTGATGGGAACTGATGTTTTTTGCTCTGAATACCCCTGTGAGAGTTTTGAGATCTCTGAGTAGATGTTATTTCCATATCACCAGAAATGGAATGGAGTCTATGATGGTACCACCAGGCACACAGTTGATTCTGTTTGTCTTGGGAGCTAGGCAGCATCAGGTCCAGTTAGTACTTGGGTGGGGAAATGGAATGGAATGAAGCATGTGACTCTTCCATGTACCCCAGGTTTTTTCAAAGTAAGCCTGGGTTTCTGCAGTTCTTTTGGGAAGCAGGAGAAGGGCTTGATGTTTGCCTCTTAGGACCCAGGAAAAAGCCATTCCTAGCACCAGTGAGAAACATTTAGGACTTGGTGATTGCCTCAGTCTCTCTCTCTTCAATGTAGGTCTCCAGCTTCTTTTCTTTCTTGTGCTTTTCTGCTTTTACCCTTACATTGTTTTCTCCCAAATTATCCTCTATCACTGCTCCTGCTGGATATCTTCTTGTATCTGTTGGCAGTAATGTTTTCCTTTGTGCCAGGGGAAAGAATTAGCTTCTGACTTGGAACCTGTTTCACTCCACTCTAATTCTAATCATCTTCCAATTTTCAACTCATATGCAACCTGCTAGAAGAGTTCTTTGATAAGCTCTCCTGTCTGCACAAATGCTCTGAACACTTTTTCCATCTAGTTACATCCAAGTCTCAGGCACTGGTAAGTGTGTGTCTCTTTTCACCCACTATCTCATGAGGGTTTGGAGATAGAGTTGTATCTTCTGTGATCTCAGTGCCTCACATGTACTACATTCATTATGGAATAAATTAAAATTAGTCATTATGGAATAAATAAAAGCCCCCATATTTCCTGTTATACCTAGCTGCACATTGAATTCTTGCATGTCCCTGCCACTTGTGTAAGTAGATTTGTTGGAGCATATACACCTGAGATAGCAAAGGAGAATCTGATCAGACTCTGATATGGCCTCCTGTGGTTTGGACATCTTTACTATATTACAGGTGGTACTGTTCTGTGTGAATGCTGGAGAGCAATGGAGAGGTCATTCATGACCTCAGTGGCTGTGCCTTTGGATGTGCTGTGATTGGGCAGCAACGAGAAAGCTTTACTCACACTTGTTTCCAAAGCGGAGATCACCACACATTGGCTCCAATGAGACTGTTTGGGATCTACTTTTCCATGCCTACTCCAGCTGCTGGTGAAGGTCTGGGCTTCTCAGGACCATGGACAGGGCCAAGAAAGGACTACTTGTTTTGTCTTCTTTTTCTTGCCCACCTTTCTTATGCTAAAGGCCAGGGAAGCTGAGAATTCTATTCCAAACAAGTCAGAGGAGGAAGCCAAGTGGCAGCTTTTCCTCTTGGGAATTCTAGCCTTTGAATCATAAATCAGTTCCTCTGGTTGTCTAACCTGACCTACACAGAAAGTTCTCTTTTCTTGGCAAAAGGCCTCATGCACAAACTAGCCTGACACTTGCCCACTAATTGCCTCCCACTGGAATTGAACTTTTTCAGGTATTTCACTCATGTCTTGTAGATTCAGAAGGGTCTGTAGCGCCTTTTATATTGCATATGGACTTCCTCAAATCAATATTCCTATATAAAACAGTGAAATAAGCCATTATATTTTCTCTTCCTTTGAAGTTTTTTTAGTATACACATTTTATATTCTGCCTTTAAAACTATTTCTGCTGCACAGCTGCTTTACCAAGACACAGACTCCTACGGCCCTGCTCGGTCCAACGTGTACCTTGAATATCTTTTCACAGTGCTTGATTTCTGCAGTTGGTTGTATAATGAGGAAGGAGTGTGCAGGGAGTTTGGAGATTCCTATTAACCAGGTTACCCATGAATCTATCTTCATGTGCTTCTTTATTAGAAACAGCAGAGAACACGATCATATTTAAATGTAACCACTTATAGGAACTTGGCTTCAAAAATACACCTTACTAAGTTTTCTTTTCCTATTTGGTATTTCAAAATGTTGTACTACATTTTCCCATCATCAGAACTACTTTTCTCCATTTTCATTCTGAGATCTGAATAGAGACCACTGAAAATGACAGCTGGTGTTCAAATACGATCAGTTGATTTGTGATCCTCTGCCCCAGGTAGACTATGCTGGGATGCCTCATTCTGCTCTTAGCACTATTGGTGAGGTTGGAACATGGTGCAGTATACCTAGCCATGATGATGATGGATGGATGATAGGGCTTGGGAATAGATTAAAGAGAGTTATCTCCAAAAACCTTGATGAAGGAAATCTCATGAAAAAGAGAGACTAGAACTGTTTTGAGGTATAGCCAAGACAGAATCAATGAATGAAAGCTAAGTAGGACATCTTGATTCATCTCAAGAGAAACCTGACAACCAGATTATCCAGGCTCTCTCAAACAGATTGCCTTGTGAGGGAAGTAGTGAACCTGCAAGCCCTTTAGTTGCTGGTCCCCAGGCCAACAGAACCATTTGACAGGAATGATGCTTCCAGAAATAACAGGTCCACATCAGCTGTGAGGTTTGGGGTCCTAAGTGTCTGACATAATTATTGGTTGCTCTAGGTAGTGATAAAACAGGCAGAAACTGAATTCCTTTAAATTGCTGAGAACAAATGCCCTGAATGGGTCGTTATAGCCGAGAACAAAGACAGAAAGTTAAGTTTCAAGTTGTTGAGGCAGGCAACCTTTTATTACTGGCAGATTCTTTACTTTTGTAGATTAGTCATTTAGATGGCCTAAAAGTTACTTAAAATGGATCACCCATAATTCATCATATTTTGTGTTGCTTAAGAACTGGTCAACATTTTTATCAACATCAGAATGTTAATGAAATGGGATAATGATCATATTTGATCTCAAATGCAGAGAGTTTTAGAGTTCATACAGCAACTTCTTCTATATTTTTCTTTAATCTTCACCACAAGTCTCCAAGGAGGCATGGTAAATATTATCATTTCCATTTATGTGAGGGAAAACTGAGACTTAGAGATTTGAGTGAGTGATCACACAATGTCACAGGGTGGCATTAGACCTGGGATGTCCCTGCTGTGTGAAAAGTGAAAATGTCCAAGTTAGACAGTATTTCTGGCTGTGCTGATAACAAGCAGTGCAGCTGTGGACAGTCATGTAGGTAAGATGGACTCCAGCATGTTTTCCACATAACTGTTGTCTGAGATTCTCTTGTCCTTCCATATAGCTTGCTGTCTGGCACAGTCCCTACTTTGTGCCTGGAGGGAGGAGGGAGAATAAAGCAGACCTTGGGCATTCTGATGCACTGGTGTGTGTGTGTCTAAATGGTCACATGACCCTTCAGCTGACACATTTCTGAAAGATCAGTTTCACAGCCTGAGATCCTTGGATGCATTATGATGTGGGCTTAGGAATTGGAGGATATGTTTATTTACTTTCGTGGGTTTACTTGTTGTGTGGACTGGTGAAGGTGGCTTTGATGGATTTCAGTAACCTTAAATATAGAAGTCAATGTGAATGGCAAGGACTCCTCATGTTACAAATTATGAGGTAGCAAAAAATATTGTAGTTTGGTCTGGTTTTTAAATTTTCTAAGTACTATGTAGCTATTGAACTAAAACCTAGTTTTTAATGTTCTTATAGGGCTTTTAACTAAGATAACTTTGTCTAAAAAGCAATAAATGTGCATTATGGGAATTTTAAAAAAAATTATAAAAACAACTCCCTATAATCTCTGAAAGATGACTGTTATTAAAATATTATTAAAACACCCAAGATTGTTTTTCTATGCATATATATATATATATATATATATATATATATTTAAAACGTTCAGTATAATACTGTGCATACTCATTCATAAACTTCTTTTTTTATTTCACTAAATATTCTCTTAAAAAGGGAATTGATTGAATTAGCATTTGGGAAAACGTCATATTTTAGTGTGTTGATGTATCAGATTTCTTTTGTCCTGTTTCCTTTTGCTGCATATTTCCTGTTGGTACTTTAGAATATTTCCTGTTCATGCTTTCAAATGTTGTGTTAACATATATCACTTGTGTAAATATGCTCCCATATAAATCCTTGATAAAGCATTAGATACAAGTCTGTTTCATTCGAACAGGAAAAAGTAAAGCTGGATCTTCATTTTGTTAGGGTGCCAAGAACCCTGTTGGGCATTTGTGAGAAAATTATACACTGTATGTTTATTATGGCTAATTGGTATGGTAACATCAAGGCTGGGGAGACCTACCCTGCTGTTACCATCACCATCCCTGTTATGGAGTCCTGGGTTTTCACAGGGTGAATGACCTTCATCAGAGCCAAGCAGTGGACTCACTTTTCTTTTCCTTTCTGTTGATTCTCCTTCAGCCTGATGAAGTCCTCCGATATCGATCAAGATTTATTTACAGACAGTTACTGCAAAGTGTGCAGTGCACAACTGATATCAGAATCCCAGCGCGTGGCCCACTACGAGGTAAGGATGACACCCACTCGTTGTGTTCGAGGGTAAAGGAGCCGCCAGAGTCATGGACACAGGGGCCGAGGGTGCCTCTCCGTGACTTGGGTGTCTTTTCAGAGCCGCTGCGTGTGTCTGTACAGTACAAGGTCAAACAGGATAAATGCAGCTGTGGGTAGGGGATGGGGGTCAGGGACATCATACACAGATCCCGATTGCTTCGCACATTCTTTTTTCTTTTTAACGTGTACTGCAGGCCCTCAAGACTCATGGGCTTTCTCTGCTTGTTCTGTTATCACCCTCCTTGAGGTTCTCTTCATGGATAAGAGCAAGAAGCATTAGGCCCAGTCTCTCTTTCCTCCTGACCCTGAGGATGAGTTCAGGAGCCCTTAGTAGTGGAGCAGGGGATCTGCTGTGTGAGAAGCGCATATCATCCACTGAGATTCCTCTGCCCTGACAGCTAATGCCCTAAATTAGTGTCCCTCAGAATGATGCTCCCTGCAGAACTATGACGAAGTTCTAACACTCAGATACTCTTGAAGGACATAGTTCAGGGCCTTTGGCTTCTTAGGGGAAAGAGCTGGTGGCTTAGTTTTGGTCCTCCATTGGAGAGAGGCTGAGAGAAGGGGCCGTGGCGCGTCCCAGGAGGGAACAAGTGGGAGCTAGAGGAAGGGAGTCGGGGATCTCCTTGCTCAGTGCTACAGGGAGGTTCTGTTTGCTAGGGAACATAGACTGGAGGAACCTGAATTCTCAAGTGTAATAACTTCTAAGGAATTTTAGATTGGAAGACTAGCCAGCAATTTTTCTTTTTTGGAAACTGACAAGTCTAACAAATGCCAGTTTTCACTGCCACTCACAAGACTTCTCTGCGCCTCAGATTTTCCTGTGCATCATGAAAATAATAATAATAACATACGAATACACAGCCACAAGGACAATGAACTGCTCCTGACTGCTCTCAGGGTTTTATGGCAACCAAATGAGATCCATTGAACTAGTATTTGTGGAAATGTTTTGGAAGCTGTAATGTCTTCCAAACATGTGAATCTATATTGTTAGCCCTTACTAATTCTTTTGCAGTGAGGTTGTGATGAAAGAAAATAAAACTTGCTGCTCAGAGAATACTTTTAAAATAAGCATCTGTCAAAAAAATTAATGTACTCATCCCTCAGTATCCACAGGGGTTTGGTGCTAGGATCTCCTAAAATCTGCAGAAATTTAAATCCTTTGTATAAATAGTATAGTATTACTATAGACCCTACACTCAGCCTGCCATGTTCTTTAAATCATCTCTAGGCTACTCACAATACCTAGTACAGTGCCTACACATCACTTCATTTGCTTGGATTCAGCAAGTTCAGAAAGTAATAATCTTAAAGTAATAATCATAAAGCAAATGCTTTATGAAAAACTCAAATTTTGCTTTTTGGAACTTTCTGGATTATTTTTTCAAATACTTTTGTTCTGTGGTGAGTTGGGTCCATGATACAGAGATGACAGATCTGAAAGGCAGATTGTATATTCTTTTGTCAAAAGACAAACAAGTTGGAAGAATAAATGGGAAATTATCTGAGAGTAAGTCCACTGTTCAGAAAGTAATAATCTTTGTGTTTTCTGTGAATATTGTTTTATAAACTATATGGTTATATTAATATTAAATCTCCAGCTAAAGATTGGGAGAATTGATCCCTGCTCTGAAATTACATGGCTCCATACTTTACTATGTATTTTTTTGTTTATTTGTAATTATCTTTCCATACTCTCAAGGACAGAAGCAGAGTTTTATTCATTTATCCTCTATAATTTCTGGAATAGTGTCTACATATTAGAGGTGTTTAATTAGTATTTGTTTAAGGGATGGTTATGTGGCAAAGAAGTGCTGGTGACATTTGACTTCATTGCTAGAAAATAAACTTTGGAACAGTGACAACAAGAATAAAAAATTTTAAAGAAGTTTAATTAAGAATTTAGTTACTTTATTTCATCATTTCCTATTGACATATGGTACCCTTGCTGTGGCATACCCTAATTGTTTAGAAATTGTGTTAGTGTTGGTGATGTAGCATAGATAGGACCGAGAAGATAAAGCAATGACCGTACATCTTCATGAACAGTGTTATGAGTTAACAGACAACATTAAGTAATTCCTATTAAGTGCGGAGGGGACTCTGAGTGGTGCTTCCTTCCCTGCCTCCTGCAGAGGTGGGGCATTTCTTTCCATGAGAAGTAGCCTATGTGTTCTTTCTGGATGACTCCCAAGGGTATGCAAACAATGCAGTCATGACAGGATCCCTCATGCCTCTCTTGTCTACCTGCTTTGGTAGAGACCCTTCCAAAGTTCCATGTCTTCTTTGAGACCATTGGAAAACTGATTCTGATTCTGTCAATCTGCCTCTTCCCTCTTCATACATCCACCCTGCTGCAACTATGTTCAGAGCAGGTCTCTCTGAGGTTGAAATCTGGTTCAATTCACTGAGAATGTTGTCACACTTACTGTCAATGCTCTATAACTAATCTGTTGTCTCAGCCTGATTTCACTCCTGAGTTCAACCTGATAATCATATCAGCTTCTCTGTGGAACAAATCAGTGAGAATTCATTGTATATTTTCTATGTTTGGCAATATTAGTATTAGGTATTGTAGAGGACTCTGAGCCTAGATCGGAAATGGTCTCTTGTCTGCAAGAAACTCATCAGTGTCATTGAGAGGAGAAAATCACAGATATGGCACAAATACCTGTGTAGTGTTGACTTGATCTGAGGAATTATGCTCCCTGCTTCCACAGCTGCTGCTCTACTTTGACTCACCAAATGCTAGTTCTTTTGTCCATTTGGCTTCCCGATATATACCACATTGTGCTGTTAACTTTATAGATCTTTCCATATTCCAAATTCCAAAGAGTGAGTCATCATAATGATATTAAATACTTCCTATTAATAGGGAGAGGACTATTAGGATCAAGAAAGACTTGGCAGAGAAATGCAAACTAAAACAACATTTATATTCCATCTTACTCCAGAAAGAATGGCTGTTATCAATAAATCAAATAATAACAAATGCTGGCAAAGCTGCCTGGAAGAAGGAACCCTCCTAAATTGTTTGTGGGAGTGTAAACTAGTACAACCACCATGGAAATCAGTGTGGAGATTCTTCAAAAACCTAAATGTAGAAACTCTATTTGATCCAACTCTTCCCCTTCTAGGTATTTTCCTGAAGGAGTTAAAGACATCATATTACAATCATACATGGGTATCCTTGTTTGTAACAGCACAACTCATAATAGTGAAATCTTGCAAGAAGTTTATATGTCTATCAACAGATAAATGGATACAGAAAATATGATATTTATACAGAATTAAGTACTACTCTGCTGTATAGATGGATGAAGTTCAGTCATTTGTAGGGAAATGGGTACGCCTTAAGACCATATTGTTAAGAATAAATTAGACACACAAGCTTAAATATTAGATGGTTTGTCTTATAAATTAAAAAATATAAAGTATACATTTAAAAAATAAAAGTTAAATATTAGGAAATAGGGAGATTGAAGTTCTGCAAAAGGGAAGGTGATCAAGAGATGGAAGGAGAGAGAAAGGAAAAGGGGGAGGAAAAATTAAGATGGTTTATGTATGTCCACCAACTCTCCACTTTGAATATAATTATTATGTACTGCAAATAAATATGTACTAATAAAAATTAAAGTTAAAAGAGAAAAAGAACGGCTTGCTGTGGAATACTGTGGTTTACTTAGGTCTCAGTGGATGGGTTAAGTTTAGGGGTTGCTAAAATGAGCAGTCTTGGTTTCTCCAGGGAGGACTGAAGAGCTTGCCCCCAGGCTGGAAGATGTGTGTTAGGGAAAGGGGTGGGGACAGCATGGATAGGTGGGGTGGGGTTGGGGTGTTAAGAAAGGGGAAATTTGGACTCTCAGGAGGTTCTTAAACATCTGTGAGCATAAAATTACAATGGAGCATTTCTAACTGAAACTAACAGTTGGTAGTGGTCAGGGAAAAGAACAGCTTTTGCTGTGACCTTTGCAGTGAAACTAGTGTTAGTTCTCTGAAGTAGGAGACAAAAAGAAAACAAATGAGTTAATGCCTAATAGCTGCATGCCCCATTTAACAGGCTGAGCCTTCATATTTGAGAATGGAGAAGTCTAATATATTTTTAATTGACCCTTCAGTAGTCTGTTTTTGCAGATAAAGTCTTGATGTTAAAAAAAAAAAAAGGGGAAACAGGACATTATTCTTTTCTTACTTGCTAGGCATTAATAACATATTAATGTTTTGGTGGAAAATATAATTAGACATTATCCCTGCTCACTGGATGAATAGTCTGAATCAACAGAATGAGTAAACACAGACAGAGAAAGGAAGGGAATGTTTTCAAATGAGAATGCCTAAGTGTTATAGAAGTTAGAAATGTTTCCTGGGAAGGATACTTGAGTTCTTTGTTATAGTTTGAAGTGGCTAAAGAACTGCAAAGGGAAAGAGTTGCTTGTGTGAGTGATGATGGCTTTGCAGGTCTGGAAGGAGTATAAGATGAGGTGTTTTTTTGGTAAGATTCCATAAAGCTGGCCCTAAATGGGTCACCTATATGGCTTGCCCTGTCCTGACACCCCTGGGCTGCTGTGCCACATGTCTAATTTCCTACTCTTGCAGTCAGTGGCTTGGGCATCTTGGAACCTCCAAACAAGCTGGTAAGCTCCCTGAGGGAGGTGGAGGTCATGCCTTGAGCCCTTTCACTTATTCCAGTAACACTCCGGAGAGCTGTGCTCTTTGGCCCATATAGCGTGATGAACAGGATGTAGTGGGTAGGGTGCCTGGAGGAGGGAGACCATAGGATCTCAATGTCTGCACCCCAAGAGACCGTGGTATAAGTTGTGTGTCCATCTGTACTTGGGAACCAGTCATGGAAAAGGCAATTCTCTACCTAGTGGGAAACTCTTCTGACTTCTCTGATTCTCTTTTTTGGCACATCTCCTTTAGTGCCTATTGGCTTTACACATTAATGAGTTTCAT